AGAGTAGTGATTTAGAAAATGAACAATTTAAGGTAGATAGCCTTTGGTGAGAAAGAATAAGTAAAAACACAAGTCAGTTTCAACAAAATGTATTTGTTCTGGTTCATGTCATATTCAACTCTGTCAATCGATAAAATGTGTAGATGGAGGGCACTTTGAGCTACATCCATCCATGCACGTATTGCACAGAGATGAAGTGTTATGAACAGAGGGTGTGGTGAAGATAGCCTTATGTATTGAACAAGTTTGTTTCTTTGCACTCATTTGCTGTTTGGATTAGGATTCAGTTTTCCAGAGATTTATTTTTAGAGGGACAACTAATCAGGAAATATGTTTCTTCCCTGAGCATAACTCACAGTAAAGTATGAATTCATTCAAGCAGATGCATATCCTTAAAGGATGCTTTCTCCCTGTCATACACATGTTCCTAAAAGTGGGGAGATGCTTTCCAAAGGTAGAAAAGTAACTTTTAATCTAGGGGACAACAGTAATACAAGTCTCTAAGATATGTTATTTGATTTCCTCCCTTCAACTATTACTTGTTAAAAATATTGCTTTATTCTCTGGGGGAAAATGGTTTCTATCCCAAGGACCGTAAAATGTTTATTAAAACAAAAATTGTATGTGCCTGTAAAAGAATATATATTTTATCTGATATGCCTATCATCTTACAATGTCTTTTGTTTCATTCCAAAAGAAAAATATTCTAGCACATGTGACAAAAGCTATTTGCCCACAGAAATTCACTATCAGATACCGAGGAAAGTAGAGAACATTCACATCTATTGGAAAGGAAGATAAGTTTTAAAAATGAATTTGAACTAAAGAGCTTTTGCTTTTAAAGTTAGTAACACTGCAAAGCTGAGGATATGACAAGAAAGCCTTTTATTGCCTGAACACCGGCTAGTTGCCATAGCAATCTTCCTAAACTCTATCATGAAAACAATTTAGAAAAGATAAACATAGTTTCAAGATCACATTTGATAACGGATGTGGTAGTTTGAATGAGAAATCTCACTCATATGCCTAAATATTTGAACACTTTCTCCCCAGTTGGTGGCACTGTTAGGAGTTACAGGCTTGCTGGGGAAGTACATCACTAGGGGTGGGCTTTGAGAGTTCATAGCTGAGCCCCACTTCCATTTCATGCCCTGCTCTGTGTTTGTCATTGAAGATGTGAGCTCTCTCCTGCTTCCATGCCTCCCTGCTGTGATGGACTCTTATCCCTCTGGAACTGCAGGCCAAAATAAATTCTTTATTCCATAAGTCACTTTTGGTCATGGTGTTTATCACAACAACAGAAAAATAACTAATACACTAAGATTAGGGCAGAAAGCACTGCTTTTTATATCGGAACTTATCCTGTCCTCAAAAGAATATAAATTCTAAATAAATAATTCTAATACTCAACTTTGAAAAAGCTTTCAATTTTAGCACAAACCAGTCGAACATCAGTGTGTAGTTTCACAGCAAAGACCACAACACATAAAGGAATGAGAGACGAAAGAAGAGAACGCTGGTCATGAACTACCTTTAGTTTAAAATCCCCTCCCCATTTTTGTAATAGCATCAGCTGTTCTTTTTCCTTTTAAAATCGGGCAGTTATTTAGATGTTTAAAATAAACAAAATTCATTGTTGCTTTGACTTGGATCTTTCTTTTCTTTTCAAAAGTATAAAACAAAGCCCTTTAAAAACTCAAGTCAACATGCCAAAGAAATAAATTTTGGCATGTCTGAAATGATGGTATCCTCAAAATTGCTCTCTCTGATCAAATCATCAAATATTTTACTATTTGGAGCAAAAATTAGTTTACCCAGAATTGAAAAAGTTTAGCAGACCATTTGTTTTTGTATTGTTTAGTTACAATTTACTTTAGATTTATACACCATTTCTAACATCCCTGTGAGACTCCCCACACTTGGAGAATGACATCTAGCATGCCACAGTGATTGCTCAACTTTAATTGCCTATCAGATTGAAAAGAAATACATCTGCCAGGTGATATGAAAGCAAGCAAAGCAAGCTTGGTGAACCATTTGGGGATTATGCTCATGGCTGTCAGGTAATCTCAGCTTCCAGCCAGTTAGTGTAGTGGCTTCTATAGTAAACAGAGCCAGAAAACTGAAGCCTCCCTCAGATATTGTAAACAATTACCCAGAGATGGGAGCTGTCATTTATGCTGTCACAGAAGAGTCTTATAGATCTTGGGCCCCAATATGACCTCTCTTGAGTGTGACTCAAATTTTCTATTCTTATAGTTGTTATAATGATTTTGTCCTCAGAAGGAAAACCCGATATATGGTTATGGTGGTTTGGATATGAAATGTTCCTCCACAGGCTCATGTGTTTGAACACTTGATCTGCAGTTGGTGTTATTGTTTGGAGAGGTTATGGAATTATTAGGACATGGAGCCTTGCAGAGGAAGTATGTCACTGAGGGCCTCACTCCACTTCCAGTTTGCCCTATCAGCTTCTGGTGTGATGAAATATGAAATGTGATTGGCCAGATTCCTGCTCCAGCCATCTGCTGTCGTGCCTGCCACAGTACAGTAGACTCTCCTTCGAGATCCACAACCCAAAACAAGCGTTTTCTTCCATAAGTTGCTTTTGGTTTTGGTATTTTAATCACAGCAACAAAAAAGTAACTAATGCAATGGCTCATGCAACTTCAACTCACTAAAAATCCGTAAGCACTTTTAACACCAGTTAAGAAATATGTGAACTATTTTGATACCTTAGTCATTTTGCATTCTAAGATCCTCTCTTTCCATTGTGTATGCTTCATATTTAATGGCAAAAAGTTAACAAAAGGGCAATTATTAAATTACTGATAGCTTAGTTCTGGTTGCTTCTAAGTAATAGCCTCTTGAGAAGAAAAGACCACCAAGGAAGGAAATAGATATGCAGGGACTACAAATTGGTGAAGAGAAGGTAAGCAGTTTTCTATTCAAATTTATTCTGGGATAGAAAGAAATGAAAAGCTTTTTAAAATGGATAAAATTATCTTTTAGTAGATTTAAAATATTGGAGGTTTCATTGCATTTTGTTTGATTTTAAAATCTGGGTCTGAGCTATACCTCAGAGGCCAACATATTAACTACTTAGTCCCACTCAAGCCTGCTCATGATTCTATGGGGAAGGAGAGGGAATGTAAGAGGTAGGGTCTAGAGGGAGGTCTTTAGGTGACTAGAGGTGTGCTTTTGAAGAAAATGCAACCCCTCCCCCATGCCTTCTCCTCTCTTTTTGTCCCTGCCCTTGAGGTAAAGGTTTATGCTCTTCCACTTTCACCTCAACATAATGTGCTGCCTTATCACAAGTCACAAAGCAATGTGATGACTGACGATGGACTGAAACAGCACAAGCTGTGAGCCAAAGCAAAACTCCTCCATTCTGCAGGTTGGTTGATGCTAGCTATGTTATTAAAGCAATGGAAAGCTAACTGATACAGCAAAGCAAAAAGTGGTAGAGCCTACCTTCTTTATGTCCATAACCAAGAGGAATTATATTATTACTGTTTCCTATTCTACTTTCCAATGTGACATTTGAGATTTGAAACTTATTTATCCAACTCTAAACACAAAGATTAGTCCCTTTTATCTAGTTTTGAGAAATGGACATGTTAATCCTCAACTCTTAGCAAGCAGAAAGATTCAAAGACCGACATTCCTCCCTCCTGAGGGAGGCTCTTGGATGTCAGGACAAGGACTACCTTTTCTAGATTTCCGTCTTTGTTCTTCATGTGTTTTGTATCATTTGGATTTTCTTAATTCAAGCACAATTTTATTTTCCTTTATTTAAACTAAACTAGTCTCCAGCCTTGACCAAAATGAGTTTTATCTGCAATGGAAAGACTGGCTTGTATTGGAGTTGCATTCCATGAAAACAACAACAAAAGACCATAAAGATATCTAATGTGAGCAAACACCTCTGTGTTCAATTTTACAAGAATTATGCATTGTCATTTTTTTGTCTGTGTGGGGATGCCTGTTTTAATATGTTTTCGAGAGACAACAAGGCACCAAGAACCCTGAGTAAATAATAGATGTTAAAAATAGCCACTACCTAACAATGTTACTGGAATAATTAGAGTACAGAGAACTCTCTCACATGAGCAGCCAACTAGAAACAAAGGTTGGCATGAAGCGGTTTCTTGGTTCTTTCTGAATTAGTGTACTGCACTTCTTCCAAACTCATCTCTCCCGCTTCAAACTGCTCGGGTTGTTTTCATTTTGTTTGCTTTTCAACTCCCCTTAAAATGCACATTACTGGGCCCCATCCTTTGTGCAATTTTTACATTTTTTTCTTTTTTCAATAGATACACATAGTGCCAATGTATAAACACAAATATAAATATAGCCATAAGCACGGGCTATGCAGATGCTTTCTTTTACACTCAGAGCAAGGAAATTTTTCTTAAAGATCATGTTCTTTATAGCCCAATTCCACTGAGTTGTAGTCTTCAAATGCAATAAAACACAAAATTCATTTCTTTGTTGGTACCTTCAGGACTGCCATAGCACTGCTGAGTATGGGGACAGTGTTTTTGTACTTGAACCTGGATGGACATAACATTATTGGAAAGTAGAAATTTCCACCTCATGTACAATGGAATAAAATTAATGACTACATTCTCTTTGCAAAAAATAAAAATAAAAGCTACCCAGGAGCTTCTCTAGACAGATGACATCCCAGATCAGTTACCGTTACCGTACTATAAACAGAAGCCCTTGACTTCGGTCATTAAAGGAAAAAGCAAGACTCCTGAAAGGCATCAAAGTTCTGACATGTCAGACAAGTCCACCATAGCAAACCATTTTGCTTTTCTTCAAAGTCATTTTTCTACAGACACAAAGCTAACAGGTCAATAACTATTATGAGAATCATTTTCAAACATCTTACCAGAGCTTTCTGGATTCATGTAAAAGGTGTTGCCTATCTTAAAGACCTAAAATGTGTATGATGATGTGGCATTTCATGAAGTCTGGAAAGAGATACTTGCATTTTGCTGTCACTTTGTAACCCCCTAGGGGAGGGGTATGACCTTCCAATGCATCAAATCCAGCAGAAACCAGGACCACGTCTGGATCAAACTCTTTGGCCACAGGCATCACGACAGACCTGTACAGTGAAAAGGCAACAGTCATACATGGAAAAAGTAAATACTTATAAGACTGTTCAGTGAAAACCACTTGAGAAAGCTTTGAGTATTTCCTGAGCTGGGGGTGGGGTGGGGTGGTGGGGAGGGATGGGCACTGAGACTGGA